ATGGATCACCTGTTCCTGTAACAAACACACAAACAAAACCACTAAATGGCCATCCCGTCATCAGTGGCCTGTGGTGCCTCTCCTTCCACATACCACACTTCCAAGTGTGAATCTGTGTATTCTGGTTGAGCTCATCTCCTTGGTTTTTATGTTGAAGGAATAGCCTGCCTTTTGCTCCTCTTAGCATCAAATCCCTCTGTTGTCCTGAAAGCCTGAGGATGTGCACCATACAGTATTGCAGCTAACAGAACACGCTCACGGCACTTCTGGGAGACCGTGACGGAGGCGAAAGATGCCTGCTGCCCGCCGACACCACAGCTGCTGCTCCTGCAGCACAGGCATCCTTCGCATGGATTGCAGTGATGCTGTGTAAGCAAACCTACTGTGCCTTCATGTCTACAAAAGCATGGTGCATACAAGTATGTATGCTACAGGCTATTTAATCCTAATCACAAACAACTATTTTACCGGAACACAGCATGTCATGTTACGCCAGTAACACCCTCACATGCTTCATATTTAACACATCTCTCCTTTGCTTCAAGAAGCCCTATCTAGTGACTGATCTATACAATCCAGGTTTATGTAAGTACATTCTGTCGCGTTTGGGCAAATACGAAATTACCCAATGACACATTTCCCAGAATATATTTTGGCAATTAAACTACACATGTCTAATTCATACACACTGGAACACTTCAGCAAAGATTTACATCCCTACAATATCTGACTTCATAACTATAAGCACGTTATATTTCTAATTACTGGGTTCTTTAGTGTAGCTAGTGAGATGAAAGAGTGCCTCTGAAAGATACTTTCGTATCTTTTTTTGCATCTTTATCACCCCTGGAGCCCGTGAATGTAAACATATGAACAAAATTATAATTATTCAGGTAGTATTAAGTCTATATAGAAGAGCCATAAGATTTAAAAGCCAAGGGAACAAAGACGTGGAGAAGGTCATATGAAGATACAGAGATTGGAGTGACACCGTATACACATATGCAACATCACTCATCACAAAGAAAAAGCAGAAAGAAGCTATGCACCATCTAGCAGGAGATGGCTAAATAAGCTATGATGTATCCATTAACAGCAAATACCAAAATGCAGGATATAGTGGAGCAATTTTGAAGACTGACACCAAAGATCTTCAACATATCTTTATGCTAAAATACAAAAAGAGTACATACGATATGGCACTGTTTTTATTTTATTTTTATTTTTATTTATTTTTTTTTCATTGGAAAGGCGGATATACAGAGAGGAGAGACAGAGAGGAAGATCTTCCGTCCGATGATTCACTCCCCAAGTGAGCGCAACGGGCCAATACTATGCCGATCCGAAGCCAGGAGCCTCTTCCAGGTCTCCCACGCGGGTGCAGGTTCCCAAAGCTTTGGGCCGTCCTCGACTGCTTTCCCAGGCCACAGGCAGGGAGCCGGAAGGGAAGCGGGGCTGCCGGGATTAGAACCGGCGCCCATATGGGATCCCGGGCGTGCAAGGCGAGGACCTTTAACCACTTGCGCCACCGCGCCGGGCCCCACTGTTTTTATTAAAATGAAGATGAAAAGTACTATTATGTATAGTCCGGTAAGTAGACCAAATAAACCTTTCTTTTCCTTCTATCCTAATGAACAAAGGCTAACCACTGAGCTTGCAACTTGAGCATCTGCTCAGTTCCACAAACAATGCCTTTCTGGGAATTACAGGGACTGACTCAGGAAAGCCAAGCGAAGTTACAGAACTCCAGCCCGCTCACTCAGGGTCACCAAGCACTGCAGCTACTGTAATAGAGTCGTCAAGGGTACAAACAAGCGCAAATTCTAGCTTGGGTGAGCCTCACCCTGGTGAAGAAGCTCTTAGCATAATACTTCATCTCCTTCAGACCCTTGCCAAAAGCATTGCAGGTCATGCGCTCCTCACAGTACAGTCAGGCCAGCAGGAACGTCTCAAGGGACTGCACTGACATTTAAGATCAACAAAAACAACTTTTCAGATGCGGCATCTGTCAGTCCTGACTTGCTCAGCCTCAGTCACCCAACCCGACCACCCTCCCCGAGGAAGATGACAGCTGTTCTTGAGACGATGCTCTGCTACCCTCTTCATCCACCAGCAGCTTAGGAAAACCTGTCTCCCCGTGAACCTCAGACCTTGTCCTCATTATTCTTTTTGGCACCATTTAGAAGAACCAGACTTTCAGTAGCATTTCAATGTTACAAGTGTGTTACAAAAATGACAGCCTTCAATAAACTAGGGAATTTTTATAAAGTATTAACTAATTATATTAATTCATATATATATATTAAACGTATTGACAATGTGGGTATGCTTGAGAAAGACATCAAGTTTTGTGAAAACATAGTCAAGATTTTTGTAACCTAAATATCTTCATTTTATTCAAGAAGTATGCATAATAATATGTAACTATATATTTAGAAATAAAAAGTATTCTTAAAATTCTGCTCTTATGATTATAGGTTTTGGGCCCGGCGGCGTGGCCTAGAGGCTAAAGTCCTCGCCTTGAACGTGCCAGGATCCCATATGGGTGCCGGTTCTAATCCCGGCAGCTCCACTTTCCATCCAGCCCCCTGCCTGTGGGAAAGCAGTGGAGGACGGCCCAAAGCTTTGGGACCCTGCACCCATGTGGGATACCCGGAAGAAGTTCCTGGATCCTGGCTTCAGATCGGCATAGCATCGGCCGTTGCGGTCACTTGGGGAGTGAATCATCGGACAGAAGATCTTCCTCTCTGTCTCTTCTTCTCTGTATATCTGACTTTCCAATAAAATAAATAAATCTTTAAAAAAAAAAAGATTATAAGTTTCTCTTTCTTTTTTGTTCTTTCTTCTTTTTCTTTTTAACAAACCATAGTAGTTTATGTAATAAAAAGAGTATGCCCAAATGGCTATGCACAGCCCAATTAAATAATCACGGGCACAGTCCACACAGACATCATTAGCCAACTTACAATTACCTTAACTAATTATTTGGTCAATTTCATGGGTAAGATGACTGATCAGTGATATTCCATACAGACCAGAATGTTCAAGTGAAAATTTTTCCTGTTGTCATGGGCAACTCTTACCGTTTAAGCCGTTGGGAATCTAGCTGACCAGGAACTTGCCCGGTGGCGTCAGTTATAACAGGTTTCATCAGGTAGAAATTTCACTTGTCATGATCTTTTTAAACAAGTTCAGACTGAAGGAAACACCCATGGAGAGAACTGGTGGTATGACCACCTGAACTGGTGAGTATGATTTGCCGAATTGTGATATTTTAGCCAACCTGACAACTCCTTTCTTTTCATTTTAATTAACTACTGTTAACTATTTTAGAATGCTTTTGCTACATAAATATGCTCTTTTTCAGGGAAAGCATTAACTTTTGGAGAAGATTAAATATTTTCCTTTTGGCTAACAGTTTAAGTTTTCTGATAGAACATTATTCTGAAAGCATCCTACATACTATATTTTAAAAATTGTAACTCAGGGGGAAAAAAATGAAGAAAGGGTGTGGTGTTGAGTAAGAATAATATAACCACATTTCATGTGTTCTGAAACTAAGGAAAGTTTTCATGTGAATCTCTGGTCCCCAAAAGCTAGGAGGTTGAAGGGAGGGATACCTTAGTTTTCCTCCTTCACAAAATAAATTTATTTCTACTTTCTTAGTGAGGCTTAGTCAGTCATTTCTCTTTGCCAAGCAGGTAACACAGGAGTAACATTGTAGAGCAGCGGGTTAACTTGCCGCTTGGAATCCCTGCTCCCATATCTGAGTGCCTGGCTGAGTCCTGGCTAGCTAGTTGCTAGCTCTGTTTCCTGTCGAGGCACACAGGAAGACAGCGGTAGACGGCTAGGGCACATCACTGCTGCCCACACGGTAGACAAGGCTGGAGCTCTGGGCCCCTGGCTTTGAACTGGACTAGCCTGACCACTGCAGATACGCAGAGAACAAACCATCTACTCAAGACTTCCCATTGTATGTGCTTCCATCCATCCCTCCACCCACTGACTTTACTTTTCAAACAAATAAATATTTTTAAAATATTTGTTAACAGAAATGTGTAACTTCCCAGGAAACACTGAACGGTGCTAACACTCTTGCCCATCCTTTCAGTGTCTGGAAATCTAAGAATGAGAAGGCTTATCTTTGGCGGTGGTTTCATGTTACTCTGCATCTTACATGGTAAGTTAAGAAAACACTTAGGAAATTGCTGTGTTACAATATGACCATGTAGACACTGGCAGTAAAGAAGGCGATCTGAACAGCATTGCTCTCAAAGTCACCTTCTAAACATATTACTGGACCAATCAATTTCTTAAAAAAAAAAAAAAAAACTGACTCTTGATTATTTTTCTCTTTGGGGTATTATTTTACCATTTTTTAAAAAGATTCATTTTTATTGGAAAGGCAGATTTACAGAAAGAGAGACAGAGAGAAAGATCTTCTATCTGCTGGTTCACTCCTCAAGCAGATGCAATGGCTGGAGCTGAGCTGATCTGAAGCCAGGAGCCAACAGCCCCTTCCAGGTCTCCCACGTGGATGCAGGGTCCCAAGGCTTTGGACCATCTTCTCCTCAACTGCCTTCCCAGGCCACAGGCAGAGAACTGGATGGGAAGGGGAGCACCTATATGGGATCCTGATACATGTAAGGCAAGGATTTAGACTCTAGGCTACCATGCCGGGTTCCAACTAATTTCTCACTCTGATACTCTACCAAGTTAATGTTTAGTGCCTAACCAAGGCCTGAGTAGGCACTCCACTAATGATAATAATAAGAGGAGCTAGCATGGATTAAGCACTTGACTGAATTCCAGGTTCTGTCCTGCACATTTCATTTGCACTAAGTCATTTAATCCTCAGGACAGTCCTGTATCTTTGGTGTCATCCTTTCTCACTTCAGAGAAGAGGAAGCAGAATTGTAGGATTAAATGGAGGAACACATGCACTATTATCATTGCTAATGTCATTGCTGTAACTAATATTGCCGGAAGCCCTTGTAAACATGTCCAAGGAAATCAACGGGAAAAAGAGGCATGGGTATGGGTTTCCTGGAACTTTCCATTTTGCTCTGACTCCTCTGTGTCCCTTCACTTTGGGAGGCCTCTGGACAGTAAAGGGCTCGGTGACATGGTGAGTGTCTAAGGGGAAGTCGTGAGATTAAGTGAGCATAAACCTAGGAGCAAAACACACTCAACAGCCCTAGTATCCCACTCAAGCAACTGACTGTTCCAAGAAAATGCCAACATCTCCCACACCAGGAGGTCGGTCAGAATAGCTGGCCCACAGAAGAGCCAGACAGTTCCAGGGACACAGCGTTCTTGCAAGAACAAAGGCCTGAATCCCACACACCTTTCTCTCCTTACACCTGCCACTCAGGCAAGTCATAGAGTTATCTGAAGTGTGAGCAACGGTAAGACTTAACTGAAAGGTGTACTTTGGGAAATAGTTGAAATGACACATATGCAAATCACTTTGCAGGGTCCGTGGGATTTCTTTCATTACACAGTTTTTTACAGTCTTTTAAAGCTGCTTGTTGGTTATTTATTTGAAAGGTGAAGTGACAAAGGGAGGGGGAAATCTTTTATCTCAAATGAGCACAGCAGTCAGACCCGAGTCAAATCAGAGCAGAAGCCAGGAACCCATCCAGGTCTCCTATGTGGGCGGCAGGGCCATCGTCTTGTGTCTCCCAGGTGCACTGGCGGGGTCCCAGAGCAGAAGCCAGGAACCCATCCAGGTCTCCTATGTGGGCGGCAGGGCCATCGACTTGTGTCTCCCAGGTGCACTGGCGGGATCCCAGAGCAGAAGCTGAGAATCCATCCTGCAGGAAGCAGGTGTCCTAAATGGATGTCTTAACCCGCTATGCCCGAACACCCACAAGCACATGAGCTAAATGTGCTTAAAACGTATTGGTTGACTGGTCACTGGCTATGGGTTGCAAGTCTGCCACGCTCAGTGCGAGGACCCACGTGCCATTTGCCCTCAGCTGAGATCACATCTTGAGAGAAGTCAGCAGAGTTTATTTAATCTCCAGACTGTTATCTCTTCTCGCCACCTGTACGGCCTGGGGAGATTTAAAGTGCACTGTGCAAAACAGCTGGTGAACTCACTTCGACGTTAGCAATGAATAGGAGTGATATGGCAGTGGTTTTCACGAAATATGGAACCAAATTTAAGACAAATTTAAGACAAATTTAAGACAAATTTAAGACAAATTTTAGCTCCATTTCAGAATCTTCCAAGCGTCACAACTGTTTTTAGTGATGACAAGAACCTTATCGCTGGCCAAGGCTCCCTGAAGCAAGTTCTGACAACGCAGACTACTGACTCGGTGAATTCAGGGGCTCCCCACTGTGGTAGAACAGACTCCCTCGGCTACGGCTACGTCTCCACGTGGAAGATGCAGACTCCCAAGCCCCACCTCCCGCAGGGTCTAGCTCTGCTCTGCGGCTGCTCAGGGAATCTGTGTGGATTTCATTCACATACATTTGATATCTGTTACCTGTGTTGACGAAGTTCCAAGAATCAGTGGAATATTTCTACATACCAAACTGAATTTGAGTATTGAGGGAAAGTAACTTGTAATAAACATGCAAGAGCAACGTGCCAAACATAACTCCCATCTTGGGTATTGAAACAAACAGAGGGTATGTGACAAATTTTTTGATGAAATGACTTTGAATTAGGCCCTGAGGAACTGACTTGATCTTACCAGCGCTGTTTAGACCAACTGGCATTACTTCGGGTTGCTGTCATGCGTTCAGGATGCTTCCCATCCACCAATGCAGCATACGCTTTCAAAGTGAAAGTGATTTTAATGTATGCAAGGTTTTAGAATTACATTTTTAAACACTTATTTTAAAAGCTGAAGATCACTGATTTATTTCTGGATCTTTTCTTTCTCCCTCTCTGTTCTTCATCCCTTTCCCCCCTTATTTTTTTGGGTCACTACAGCTGGAGATGTCGGAGCCGTGATCTGCAGGCTGTGCAATCTCTCTGTCCCCTTCCATGGGTGTCTTTTAGACTTTGGAACCTGCAAAACCAAGCCTGGTCAGTTTTGCTTTACAGAGGTGCACATAAAAGGTGAGTCTCAACAGCTGACAGTATAAATATAAGCGTGCAGGGAAATCTGTGTGAGCAATTATTACAAACCGGACGTGTGCAAAGAAATGCCTTAGGACCACGTCACACAAGGACCGAGTGACGTGTCATTGTCCCCTGACAGATGAGAATCTGAGGCACAGAAAGACAAACACTGGGGTATTTCAAAAAGCTCACGGAAATCACATCCTATAAAAAACTGGACGATTTTTAAAAATTAGCACAAAAATTTAACTCCATTTTCTGCCAACTTCTTTTGTGTTGTATTTGAAAGGCAGGGAGACAGCCGGACCAATGTTTCCAATCTGCTGGCTTACTCTAAATGCTCACAGTGGTCAGTATGGTTGGAATTAAGCATCAGGAACTCCTTCCTGACTTCCTAGAGGTACCTGCTGCCTCCCGGAGAGCACTTTACCAAGCCGGACTGGGGAGCTGGGCAGGCCTCAGGCACTTTATCCAAGCCGGACTGGGGAGCTGGGCAGGGCTCAGGCACTTTATCCAAGCCGGACTGGGGAGCTGGGCAGGGCTCAGGGACTTTATCCACACTGGACTGGGAGCTGGGCAGGGCTCAGGTACTGCAGCAGAGGACAGGAAAGAGACAAGAAGCTCAGATGGCAAAATGTCCAAGGATTACAACGCTGATGTGGGAGGAGCAGTGTCCTCTCTCAGAAACTTGGCCATCTGACACGGACATGAAACAAACAAAACTGAAGCACGCTTTTGGTAGTTTGGTAGTGGCAGCTTGGGAACCATGCCACAGGGGGCAGGTTGATCCCACCTCACGTGAGGGGTGTTTTTATGCTGCAAAAACACCCCTGGCCAAACCCAGCTTCCCAGCGCATCCACAGGTGATCAGCTGTGGCAGCAACAGCAGCTCTGGACATCACCTGACATCCTGGATATGGGCAAGATGACAAATCATGCCAGGTGGAGAGCTGTTTTCCCGTTTCCAAGCTGCACGTCTGGCTGCCTTCGAGGAATGGCTCTTCCCGTCCCCCACACCACTGACTCTCAGAGTAGTTGCATTTACATGGTCTGCATTTTCCACAGTGAATATGTGCTGCTTCTTTAATAGCGGACAAAATGAAGTAAGGCCACGGTTATGGACAAGCCTCCATTTCTGAGAACTGTTTCCACAGCCTCATGGTCCCAGCATGGACACAGTCCTTCGAAAAGCTTACAGCCTGGGCAAAGCCAGGGAACAATTCTAAGGAAGTTCCCAAGTTTCTACACAGGCAATGGCAATGCCCTGGCTTCTACCATCTGCATCTCAAAGTTATTTTGCCTAATTCCACAAACTCGAATCATTGACGTGGGACGCGACGGAATGCGCCATTCCTAGCAGGAGGCCTGCAGCTCCAGTTGCGTTGGCTTTTCTGGTTTTCTTTTTTTATATTTAACAACAGTCAAGTCAGGCCAGGTAACTTGCACCTTCCAAGAGACGCTCCCTCTCTCTACCTCTTTCCTTTCCTGCAGGTGGTATTCAGTGGTATGCAATCAAAGGCTGCACAGAGAACGCATCCGAGTGCTTCCAGAGAGCTGTCACGGCTTACGAAATGCGGACCAGTCACTGCTGCAGCAACCCTATGTGCAACTTCTAAGTGCTCCTGGCCAGGCCTGCTGCCACTGCAGGATGGCGCCTCCACCCAGGCCTGCTGCCACTGCAGGATGGTGCCTCCACCCAGACCTGCTGCCACTGCAGGATGGCTCCTCCACCCAGACCTGCTGCCACTGCAGGATGGCACCTCCACCCAGGCCTGCTGCCACTGCAGGATGGCGCCTCCACCCAGGCCTGCTGCCACTGCAGGATGGCGCCTCCACCCAGGCCTGCTGCCACTGCAGGATGGCGCCTCCACCCAGGCCTGCTGCCACTGCAGGATGGTGCCTCCACCCAGGCCCTGCTGGGCACATCCCAAGCAGGATGGCACCTCCACCCAGGCCCTGCTGCCACTGCAGGATGGCTCCTCCATCAACTGAACCTCTACAGAACTCTCAGAAGCTTACAGGCCATAGGGGTTAGGGTCAGAAATTAACTTTTTTAAAAATGTTATAGTTCCACAGACTTTGGGATTACTCTGCCCTCCTCCCTAAGTTCCTTCCCCTCCAGGGAGTCCCCCGTTATTACAGTAGCACAGCGCTCTGGAACGGTCCCAAGTCCGTCACTCTACTCTCCGAGCGTATCCTGACATTGTAGGTATGGCCAATGAGGAGAGTCTGGCATCCTATTGTTAAGACACACTTCGCAGTTTCATTGGGAGTTCATCTTTGATTTGGAAGTAGAGATGCACACTACATTGTATCCTCACATCTGGATATGACAGCCTCTATTACACAGTTAATATATATCCCATTAAATGAAAAGCCATAAAACAAAATCAACAATAGGAAGAAAAATAAGAAATGTACAACAACATGAAGTTAACATGCTACTGAATGACCAATGTGTTGCTGAAGAAATCGAAAGGAAAATCAAACACCTTCTTGGTAACTTCAGCTTTCAAAGTGCCCAGCTCCTCCACCATCTGCAGGTCACCTCAGAAACGTCCCTGCTAAGCCTTCTTTCTCCTCTTTCCACTCAGAGCCTCTTTTTCCCAACTTGATTTCACTTTTACCAAGGAGTGAAAATTTTAGAAATTCTCCAGGCCACAGGACACACACCTTCTCTAGTAAGTTTATTCTACGCATTTCCATATTCCAAAACAGGAACCTGACAGTGTCCATTTGGTGTCCGAAGAAAATGGCTCCTCCTCCTGGGTTGACTTACGGCATGAAATAATGACGAATACCACAGGTCAATAACAAACCGTGAATCAGCAAAGAAGGCTTGTGGGACTGTGAGCCTCAACCGCACACAGCTGAGGGTGTGAGAGGCCAAGCTGGATTTATTCTTTCCTTCCAGATCAGCCCAGTTTTTATATTCCCATACCTTGGCCACACAGAAGTGCTTTGCCTGGTCTAATCTGGAGAGATTCAACACCCCTAGGTGAGCAGAATAGATTCCAATTCACAAGATACACTGGGCCTGTTCCCAGCCCCAGTACCCATGAGTGTCAAAGGGTTCCACGGTCATGTGTATCCCGGCGTATCACTCACTACCCCTAGCTCTTAAGCAAACCAATGAAAACTGCAGTGTCCCAGGGGTGACCCATACACTCCCCATGGAATCTGCCCCTGGGACTGGTTAGTGTCATGGCCAGACTAACCACCCACCCCCGTTCCGACTCTCACCGGTGAGTTCTGTGATCCAGCCCTAACTTCAGTAAGCTCCGCTGAGTGGTGGTCAGTTGAGATCATGCTAACTAGTCCAGCTCAGGTCTCCCATGTGGACAGTACACTGGTCTGACCCAAAACAGTCCTGTGACTGCACGCCTCCCAACTGCTCAGCTCAGCCCCTCTGCTTACCTCAAGTGCAGTGGCCTCGTCGGCGGGAGGCCCTCAGAAGTCTTTCCTTACCTGGAACACACTCTCAGTGTGCTCTCAGTGTCCTCCCTCCCCACGTCCCCTCCCTTTGCCCTCATCAGTCGGTCCCTGTGCCCAGCAGCACAGGGTTCCCAACGCGGCCCAGCAGCACAGGGTTCCCAACGCGGCCCAGCAGCACGGGGCTCCCAACGCGGCCCAGCAGCACAGGGTTCCCAACCCGGCCCAGCAGCACGGGGTTCCCAACCCGGCCCAGCAGCACGGGGTTCCCAATGCGGCCCAGCAGCACGGGGCTCCCAACCCGGCCCAGCAGCACAGGGTTCCTAACGCAGCCCAGCAGCACGGCGTTCCCAACCCGGCCCAGCAGCACGGGGTTCCCAATGCGGCCCAGCAGCATAGGGTTCCCAACCCGGCCCAGCAGCACAGCACGGGGCTCCCAACCCAGCCCAGCAGCACAGGGTTCCCAACGCGGCCCAGCAGCACAGCACGGGGCTCCCAACCCAGCCCAGCAGCACAGGGTTCCCAACCCGGCCCAGCAGCACAGCACGGGACTCCCAACCCAGCCCAGCAGCACAGGGTTCCCAACGCGGCCCAGCAGCACGGGGTTCCCAATGCGGCCCAGCAGCACGGGGTTCCCAAACCGGCCCAGCAGCACGGGGTTCCCAACCCGGCCCAGCAGCACGGGGCTCCCAACGCGGCCCAGCAGCATAGCACGTCAGCAGGCTAATCCAGGATTCCCCGCTCGCTGCCCACCCTGAAATCACACGCGTGGGGAAATCCACAGGCTCACCGTGCCTGCCAGGGCGTGAGCCCCCAGGACCCTGCTTCCCATCCCCAAATCCCCCTACAACAGGCCTGCACCCCAGTTGCCAGAGGCTGGTGGCAGAAGCAGCCAGCCTGCCCTGGTGGGCAGTGGAAGCCCAACAAATAATTTTCTACCAACTTTTAAGAAAAGCAAGCAGGCTTTTTAAAAGTTAAGAAAAACTACCCTTTTCTTTTTACCCAGACCCTACTCCACATTAGCCACATTGGTTACCTTGGGTCAGGGAGAGTCACAGAAATTTAGCTTTTGTTTTTTTGTTTTGTTTTGTTTTGTTTTTTCATATTTGTGATGTAACAGTATTTACCCAACATCATGGGAGGGGTACAAAACAAGATTATGGAACTAGTGACTAATTTCAGTGGCTTCCTGAGTCTGTTCCACGAGCCCAGGCTGCAAGTGCAAGAGAAGCAGAAGGGCCTGGAAGGGCGCGGGGTCGTCGTGCTGGTAGACAGCCGATGACTCGGGCGTACAACGAAGCCTGGACCACACGGCCTGTTAGATCCACCCAGTGCTAACATCCCAGACTCCAGACTGACTAGCACCTCCCTTGGTCGGTATTGAACAGAGACCTTCAGACGGGCCCTGGCTACGCACTCAACGCCCGCCTGGATCCGATGACCCGGGAGCCGTTTACCTGCAAGACAATCTGAGCCCTTCTCTTCCCATGAGCCAGTCGCCCTCTTGGTTCCCCCTCCCTCCTAAACTTCAATTTCCGGACGCTAGCCTTCTGCACGAAGTAGATGAAACTCACCAGCTAATCCCATTTTCTACCCGACTGAATTACGTTTACCAGAACAGCACTGAGAACACCAATCTTCCGCTCTGACTCAGACCAGGCAGCAGCCTCGCCCTCAGAACCTGCACTGCCTCCAACGCTCTGCTTGCCTGCGCCATCTGGTGGCCACACGTGACAACTGCACCCAGCATTCCCACCTCCTCCAACAAGCCCAGTGCTCCAGTATTCCGTGTCAGCGTCCTGCATGCAGCAACTAATGTTGTCAAGACACACGCAATAAAACAGTCCTTGTAACCAAGGAATACACAGAATCCTATGCCAAGTCTCATGGAGGGAGACAAAGTGTAAAACTTTGGAATGAGGGCCCGGCGCGGTAGCCTAGCGGCTAAAGTCCTCACCTTGAACGCTCCCCGGGGTCCCATATGGACGCCGGTTCTAATCCTGGCAGCCCTGCTTCCCACCTTCCCATTCAGCTCCCTGCTTATGGCCTGGAAAAGCAGTCGAGGACGGCCCAAGCCTTTAGACCCAGAAGAGACTGAAGCCAGCAGCCCTGAAACCAGAAGAGACTCCTGTCAAAGGCCTTTGAAACACGAGTGAAGACTATGGGTGCTCTGGTGGGGCATATGGACCCAAACGATGCCAGACAGAACGTGCTGGGCCATCGACAGAGTGTCAGTGACTGGAACGGACCCGCACTGTATGCTGCAAAAGGCCAAGGTGAATAAAGTCCACAGCAAACATTGTGCATCAGAAATTGGAAGTCAACAAAAGACTGACACTTGAGCCAGTGCACGGGATGGGTGCTGTTTCCTTACACTGCTGTGAAGTCCCACTGGGTTCCCGAGGACGAAGATGACACACAGTGTGACAACTGTGACTCGGGCTGCTGTTTGCGCAAGTCTGTGTAGGACACCTTCATCCCTACACTGCGCCTGGGTTTTGTGCAGCTTCTTCAGCTGGATCCATGTGGAATACCACGAGGATCCTTTAAGATTCCGCGCTCAGAGCCCGCCCCCAACAGGCGGACAGCACCCTACAAAAGTGAGAAAAATGAAACTCATGGGAAAGCTTGTTTGGGTGTAAAAATTTAAAAGCCATGAATGAGGGTTTTTTATTTTGTTTTATATATATATATTTTTGCCATGAACTTTTTAAAGTCTTTGTGTTGTGTGGAGACTGGAGGGCTGTAAAACCACGCTTTCAGGGGACCAGTGTTCCCATGTTTTGGGGCCTGAGAATTATTCAAATATAAAAACTTGGGGAGAAATGATTTACAGTAACACATCGGATTGCTGCTCATAATTTTCTTCCCGTTTATAATAAGGTTTCATCTGGCAGACTATGCACCCGTCTAGGCAGCATCGTCACCTTTAGTCATGGTCACTCGAGGGATAGTCTTTTAAAGGACTCCAGGAAAGAGGTGGCTGTTCCCTGGGAGCAACAGGGGGAGTGTCTGCCAGCCGGGAGCTACAAGAGAGCAGCCAGTGGATCCGCACAGCATCTGCCAGCCGGGAGCTACAGGAGAGCCAGTGGATCCGCACAGCGTCTGCCAGCCGGGAGCTACAGGAGAGCCAGTGGATCCGCACAGCGTCTGCCAGCCGGGAGCTACAGGAGAGCCAGTGGAT